TCATTTGTATCGTCGGATAAGTGCTGAAGTGATTGACAGTCGCAGAAGAGATCACCTAAGGATTATCTCTATACTTGCTCACACGAGGTCATGTGGCGGCTTTCACTTATGCTTTCCACCTGGACACCCTCACCTTGTGTGTTTGAGTGCATGATTGATCTCGAGGAAAGGCTCATCTGACCGGAATGCGCTATTAGTTCTCGCATCTACCGCCTGTCCTGGTGCCGCCTTTGATGTGCTGCACAGCGGTTGTTTGATGTTGCGAAAATAATCATCTGCACGGATGCGGTCTTGTTTGAGTTCCTCTCGTGCGTTTCTATTGCTGCTTATTAGACGATGACATAATTCTGTCTGTCTTTGGTGTTACAATGAGTCGTTACGTAAACCTAATGGCTATATTGGGTAATCCCTGACGATGTTCACAGAGTACTAATATCCCTTGCTAATGACAAACTTCCAAAACATAATCCTTAGCCTCTATCCTCTAGAAAATGCTTTGCGAACTTGGTATGCACGACCACACACCCACTACATTTGATGTGTTGTGACTATCGGGTTACCACAAGCGCGCACCCTCTGGCCGGAAATCTTTGTTTATGGTAACATCTGGCAGCAGAATTGTGCTTACTAATCTTCGCTAGATGAGACGTGGAGTAGTGCTAAAAGAGTGAGAGCTGGATGTTCATTTTGTTAGTAAAAATTGGCTGCCGAATCCGATGTCTTGGGCAGAAGTATGTCAGATAAACGTATACTTCTTTATCTCTCCTATTTCCTTTTCCTTTTTTTCCTCTACTTTATATGGGTGCAGAGTAAATGATTGACACATTTTTATGAAAGGTGCTTCTCGTCTCACTAAAATACCACGCGGCCCAATTAAAAGCGATTTTACAGTAATTATTATAATTTCTCCTTGAATAGTGTATAGCTGCCCGTAAGTTCGGGTCATATATGCAAAACTAATTTTATCCTTAACGCTTGGAGCATAACATCTTACATAAGTGGCTGCCACACTTGGCAAACCCGAGTAAATTGCATATGGTTTTTAGATAAATCTAATGACAGCGTGTGCTAAAACCTTGGCAGCTGTCTGAATATTATTTTATTAGAGTGTAGGGGAAGCGATTGAGTACAACAAGGGTTCTCAAACTACGAAATGGCCAGAGGTAAAAAATGGAAGTCTTCAACATCATAATTTGTGTACATCTTTCTGATCCCTTATACAAGTTTAATTCCCCAGAACTTGTAGATATCATTCCATAAACGTCATTTGTAATTTTTATTTATAATTGTATTGAAGT